GATACAATAAGGTTAGGGGCGCAGCCCCGAAACAAATACTATTGGAGTCACCAAGTACCTCGGAAAGAAGGCAGGGGGTATTTGTTTTATATCCTGCATCAAAAATTTCAAACACAAAAAAGAAATTCTTTTTTTTCTTTTTATTTTCTTTAAATCTAAACAATTAATAAAAAGAACAATTAATTGCAAATATAATGTTTTAAACATTTCAACAATTTTTGTTGAATTTAACGAACTTAATCAATTTTTGTTTCCAACTCCTTACTTTTTCAGAGCAACCTTAAAATGGTTGAAATATTTCTGGTCATGTGAAGAGCTCTCAACAAATCAAAAACCAATATATTTTTGATTCAGGATATAATATTGATTATTATAGATTTTCTTTCCGTTTTTCATTCAGTTTCAAACCGTTTTCATTCAATCTCGTCCCGAAACTTCCTTTATATAAAACAGTCAATTTCGTCTTTGGTCATTCATTTTGGAACTTTGTCCAATTTTTGAAAATCATATTACGTCCAATTTTGTCACGGCAGCTCTCTTGCAAATTTTCGTCACTTTTTAATCGATTTCATCAAAGCGTCGTTCAAGTTCGTCACTTGTTTGTTTGTTATAGTTATTACGCTTTGTCTTTTCATTTCTTCCTGAAACTTGCTGTATGTTTATACGTTTGCATTATTTTTTGAACAGCGTAGGTCCAATAATATACGTTTTCAATACCATTAGCGTCGACAATTCCTTTTTTTTAAATACATGTAACTGAGTTTCACATTCTTAATTTTGGCTATGCATTGATTGTTCAAGTTTTAATCAGGTTGAATATACGATGAGCAACAATGTAAAATATTAGTGTGGATACAATGCAACCAATTAAGGGAATTCATTTCATTCACACAAAGTATGCTGTGGAAAACAGCTTATGGGAAAACTCCATACTTTTATTTCTCTTGTCGAGAACAATCAACTAAAATATGCCTTCGTGTTATTCAATTCCATGAATTCCATGATTCCATGAAAATTCATGAAAGAAAACCTGTCTGTACACCTGCCAATTAAAATGTGTATATTTGTACTTATCTAATTGAGAAACTTGATTTAACTTTGACGAAATTGGATGCAAAATAATTACATTGATCGGACAAAGTTCTGAAATCGAAATTGAGGTGTGCAAGATCACAAGGTTTTGTGACGAAATTGAATGAAAAAAGTGTTTAAATGGCTGAAAAACTTATAATAGAGATTTCAAATATTGCAAGTACTATTATATACTACTACTACTACTTCTACTACTACTACTACTCCTACTACTACTACTACTACTAATAATAATAATGATAACAATATTTAGATAGCGATCAATTTAACATGATAATGATAATGATGATCATGACCTTTACCTAATTACTATGAAAGCGTGTATGCTGCATATAAGTAAGCTACCAACAGACCGACGGCTTTAAGTCATCTCCGAGGGAACTAGTAAAGAGGATCACTGCCTTACCTTGGTTTCGAACCTGGGACCCTCCGTTTACGGGACCACTTCTCTACTACTGAGTCTTTGCACCCTTTCCTTTTTACACCATATTTTTGTGTCATTTTGTAAATGATTTTCAAAATCGTTTCATATTTGTATCTGTTGTGTGTGTCCAATTTAATAAAAATGAAAAACCAGAATCTATGAATGGTGAAATATCATAATAATCCTGATATTATCTATGTTATTCTCACACAGTGACCGTACCATCTACCGGTACTTCAGCTTCTAACCCTCCAACGGAATCGACGTCCTTACCATCATCAACCCCCTCATCGACAGAACCTGGTAAAAGATTATTGATATCCACGGAGCCATCGTTCCTTAAGCTTTTGAACCCTATTTTTGTATAAATGTGTAAATAAAGTAAGGTATTGAAAATAATTTAATATTTTAATTCAAGTTCAAGTTCCAGTTCAAGTTCGAGCTTTATTTCCATTTTACAAACTAAATTACAATTTTTTTTTACAAAGTATACAAAAGTAATTATACAAGTGTACATGTTTGTTTTTTCTTTGCTAAACAAAACAAAATATTTATATTATTCTTAATCAAGTTACAAGGAATTATAGGATAATTTTTAGTGTATCTCCGTTTCATGAAAAGAAATATGAAATTATGACTGTTGAAATATCATATTAATCCTGAGATTATCTTTGTTCTTCTCACACAGTGACCGTACTATCTACCGCTACTTCAGCTTCCAACCCTCCAACGGAATCGACGTCTTCACCATCATCAACCCCCTCACCGACAGAACCTGGTAAAAGAAGATTGATTATTCCTGATATACAATTAATTCAATTTGGTATAAAATTGATGATGATGATGATAATAATGATAATAATGATAATGTTGGTGATATTAATAATAATATTAATACCAATGATAATGATAGTAATAATAATAATGATGATCATGTTACTACTATTATACTTTTAATAAGCTTTTGAACCCTATTTTTGTATAATTGTGTAAATAAAGTAAGATATTAAAAATAATTCAATATTTTAGTTCAAGTTCAAGCTCAAGTTCAAGTTTAAGTTCAAGTTCGAGCTTTATTTCCATTTTACTAAGTGAATTACAAAAATCATTTTACAAAGTATACACAAGTAATTATACAAGTGTACATGTTTTATTTTCTTTGCTAAACAACAAAAAAATATTTATATCATTCTTAATCAAGTTACAAGGAATTATAGGATAATTTTCAGTGGATCTCCATTTTCATGAAAAGAAATACGACATTATGAATGGTGAAATATCATATTAATCCAGAGATTATCTTTGTTCTTTTCACACAGTGACCGTACCATCTACTGGTACTCCAGCTTCTAACCCTCCAACGGCATCGATGTTTTCACCATCATCAACCCCCTCACCGACAGAATCAAATAATTCACTTGGTATAATGATGATGATGATAATGATAACAACAGTAATAACAATGATATTCAATATACACAAACCTTTGTGAAGTGCTTTTCACATTGTGATCTTTAGCTAGAGGTTCATCTGTAAGTTTACTATTTTGACGATCACTAACAATTACGATACGCGATCATTCTTTATAATCATGTTTTCCTAATTATTTTCAGTCGTATTTTTTTCAGTAATTCAGACATACATGAAATTATGTTGAAAAATAACAGCAAATGAACAAAGTGTAACGTTTCAAAGTTTAAGTTCAAGGTTATTTTTCTCTTAAATGCAATTCATTTATTTTCCATCTGTGGCATCGAACAGCCTGGTCAGCACGAATGTCGTTAACATAATTCACTGCTAAACATTCATAATCTTTCAGCGTTCAAAGTTATCTCTTTTATTCAATTAATGTATTTTCCACTTGTGGAATGGGACACTCTGGATATCAGTGTCGTTCATATGGGGTCCCCAATTTTAGGGGAATTCAAATACATGTATATATAACATATTTAAGAAAATAACCTATACAACAGCTTTGGCAACTCTCGTGGAAATAAATATAATGCGAAAGGAAACGTCCTAACCAATGGACTATGTACTTGACGATTAATGCCTTATTGTTTATATTTTTGAAATGCAGAATGAAAATGATAGGGGCATAATAATTGCTTAAATACCCGATGTAAATCGGTTATTTGTTATTTACGGTAGTTTTGAAAAATTAACGAACAGGAATTAAACTTGATTTGGCCCAAGTTATATGGCTGGGATATGAATCAGCAATATGAATTTACCCTACATAATTGTAAAGCAGGGGTATGTCTATTGTGAAATTAAATATGTGAATTACATTGATCCCAAATTTTGAACAGATGCAGGCTTAAATGTCACGGTCATGAATGTATCAACCCCCTCACCGACAGAACCTGGTATGCGGTATATAGGTCTACATGCATATAACACATATAAACATGTCAATTCCTCACAGATCTGGACGTACTTTGTTCCCCTACGCCCTGCAAGAACAACGGCGAGTGCCAGATTGACCATAACACCTTTGACTTCACTTGCGTGTAAGTCTCTTAATTTATGTGTTTCTCTATAACGACATCTTTCCCATATTGATTTTCCTCAATTTTAACCCACACTGCGATAGAAATTACTAACATGTCGTCGTCACATATTTCAATATCCGATTCTGCCATGATCGTATTAAGGAATAATTACATTTTGTCAAAAATAATGAAAACATTTAATAATATTTTTGGACATCCAATTAATATTGAGAGTAAAAGACAAATCAAATAAAGGCATGTTTGAGCTCAGAGATGTTTCGGGGGATTGTAATATTCATTAATGTCATAAATACTTTATCAAATGGAATATGTATAAACAAAACTAGATTAATCTGAAATCAAGTAAGAATGGTTAATAAATATACTTTAAAAAAAAATGGAGTTCTCAAAGGGAATCGACAATGGAATATACATACTTTATACTTAATTTAAATGGCCATTTTGTAAAAACGCATTGATATAGTTGTTTAAATCTGTTATGTCGATTGTGAGTACGATAAAATTTGCTTGTATTTTGTTAATCATTTAACCATACAAATTACAAGCTGATTGTTTAACAGTATCTAACCATTCTTCCTTTCCTTCTATATTACATTAGAGTGCTTTTAAATTGCGTTTATGTTACTGTGACACTGTGTAAATATAATTTGAATGCTTTGCTAAACGTGACGAAATGACTAGAAGAAAATAGATAATACTTTAAAATTTGAAATCATGCGGTATAAAACTTAATCTTGCGAATGGTCTTCCTTTTCAGCTGCGCCAGTGGATACTCCGGGCCTCAATGCTCTAACTCTTCTAACGTCGTACTCCTTGTTATCCTAGTCCCTATCACGATTCTCATCCTCCTCTTCATCATCTTCTTCGTCGTCCTCGTCGTATACTATCGTGTTCGTCTCCACAAACTGGAAGGGTATAAAAAGAGACCATTTCATTACGACAGGAATGCTCGTCGATATGAAGATGTCATGCAGCAGTTGTACTTCACAGAAGATAGGAGACACCAACATCAGGACCTAGAGACCTTCAAGAACAGCGCTATGGGCCTTCGATTCAGTAAAGAAATCAATGTAAGTAGTCATTCCTAAACTAGCAAATCAACGGTTCAGTTATCATATATCATACTAACCTCTGTAGTGCTAGTTTTGTATTTTCTGCACATTATCAATATTCGTGTTAATTAGCTTTGGGAGATGCAAGTGTCTTGTTCTATTTTGAGAAGATGGATGATGCAATATCACATGTGGGCAAAACACGTTGTCAAAGGATTTAGGAACCGAGCAAGGATCGAACCCAGGACGACTCAAATGACAATCCAGAGGCTTCGTCAATATACCTCAGTGAATTCACTTCTATCGATTTTCCAAAACTAGAACAGCATTTGAAGTTATCTTGCAATTTTAGACTTCTACTACTGATTTGTACACTTCAATTTACAGGCTCGTATGCAAGTGAGATCTCAACAGATGGAATTACATGGGCATCACCCATCAGCATCTCACCATGATCCTTCAGATAGGCATCGAAGTCGAACGGACCCGATACAGAGTGGACGAAGCCTTCACGACCGACCAGTGACAGGCGACCAAGGATTCCAGGGACATCGCTCAAACGGTATGCGCAGTCGGGGCAATCCTTCCCTGAGTCACGAGACGGTCAGCAGCAGCAGCAGCGTAGTCTACAACAAGGCGGCCAGAAGGAGCGTGAATGATAGGAACATGGTCTCTTTAGGCAGATCGAGAAACGGGAGTATGCCGTCTGATGTGTACGTAGCTAACGGTTTTAACGACACACGTCTTTAAAACTGGGTTCTGTACAAGCCCATCAAATCAATATCCCTACCAAAATTGTATCACAGGAGAGACCTTTCGGACTGATTGCAAAATTCCTGAATCCGGCTGTAACTTTCTGGGATAGTTGTATGATTTTGATTCATGTACTTTAGGGATGCGCTGAACAATACTGGAAACCTTTCATTTTTAATTGATGTTTTGTACAAGAAACGATATTTATACCCGCCTTTTAATTAAGCCTAGATATTCGCAATTGTTTCTTTTTTTAAAGATTATGTTCATCATACATACATATCTATTTTTTTTAAACTAGTTTTTATTTCGTAATGCAGATATTATAATAAATATTTTACTGCGTGTATACTAAGTTGTTCAAATGTATTCTATTTGTGCACAGAATATTTTTTTAACATGAATTTGTATTTTCTTTTGTTTACATTAAGCTATCTTTGTATAATGGATGTTTATGCTCTTCCTACTCTGCTACTGTACTGTTACTTGATACCAATGTGGATATCTCTTGATTTAGTCTGTTTTACTTCAGTTTTGTGTAAATCCATATTTATGGTGAATGTGTATTTATTTTAGCATAAAAATGAATAACAAAACGAACACTACAATAGTGTGCTCTGGTACACGTCAAGACTTACATCAAAATCAGATTAAAGCGTTGATAACATTACAATAAAAAGAACTGACATATAAATCATATCGTCAAGTAGTGGAGAGACAGATGGGGGCAATGGCTAACCGGTTTATTCATGTTTCCTTCAAAATCAAGACAAGTGAATAAAAACCGACTATTCCAACGTAATCCATCATCTAAATTTGACTTGAAGGATTTTGCGAGGAGGCAGAAGAAATGCTTTCAGGTTCGAGCAAGTGCCGCATCAAGGTAATTCCATTATATGCATCACATCAGACAGGTGAACAAAATTCCTTTTTAGGCTAATAAGGAGTGCCATTTGTCTGCCGCCCCGGAATTCGGTAACTTTTCAATCTGAAATGTTATTTAATCTATACAAAGAAAGACTTACAATCGATACTTGATATAAGTTTTGTATCAGGTTCTGGCTAACAACGTAATTCATTGTTCCTTCATATTAGTGGTAGGATAAGTAAATTGTATGTTTTAGGATTAGAAGAACAAAAATGCATAGTAGACATTTGAGTTGTAATTTTAACCTATATTCAGGTATTTTGTATTTCTTCTACATATACATGTTTTTACACAGGCACTTTTTCATCCATGCATAAATTAAATAGAAATATAATAAACTGTATAAGCAACGAAGCTTTAAAAATACCATACAGTGGTAAGTGGTACATTTGGTTGATATGTCAATAGACAAATACATTATAGTGAGGCAATGGTGCATAGTTGCATAAGCTAATGTAAGCTAACAGAAAGTCTGGTAGTCAAATGGTATCCTATCAGAATTACGTATTGTTTTTATCACGGCCTTTTTCTTGTCTAGGCAAAATAAGAAGAACATGTGATATCGGACTACGAAGTTTTCGATGTACCAAGCTGGATTAATTATATAAACATAATAAATATTTTCGTATGCATCAATAAAGAATCGAGAAAATTGATTATAGTTTTATGTCTACCTTTCAGTTTCAAGTGAAATCCATCGTGCTCTTTTATTTTTATGAACACAACATGGTGCACTACGGCCTACCAAGAGTAGACAATATGAATGTTGAAATTATATTCCATACGTTCTAACAACATTAATTACTCAAATACAATTTGTATTCGTAACTTGGGACTATATAATGATCATTGTTCATGAAATATCCGCTAATATCTTTGAATATGTTCGAAATGGTCAGCAAATGTCCTTTCTTAATCTCCAAACGGTAAAATGTCGTCATACAGTTTCTCACTCTCTTCGTCTACCTTTGTAGTTGGTAGAGGGAGTACGTTCTTTGCTCTTCGAAGCATAGCAGGAGTTCTTGATCTAGTTCTTTCCTTTGGTTTTTGTTTGGGAGATATAATACACCCGTTGACATATCTCGGATTGGACGAAACAGCATGAAGTAGCTGAGTTTTCATGCTATGATCGGCTGTTGGATCGGGTGACAGCGGCGGGATGTCTGATTCGCTTAACCTAGGAGGTATCATAGGACTTGGTGTTTGTCGTAGTTCAATAGAAGGTTTAGATTTTCGTTTCGTCGCTGGACGTCGCGGCTGTCGCATTGAAGAAAATGCTCGAATTGCAGTCGTATAGCCATTATAATCCACCTGACTTATAATTCTTTTAGAACGAGATGACACGAATTTGTTCTCTCCCTTTCTGGGAATGAGGATTCCGTCCAAGATGATTGTGTTCCTGCAATCAAAGCTGTTTAAGTACCATCAGAAGGTAGATTCGCACGATGGGATGGAAGAGGGAATGGATCAGTGTGGGTTCTTCCATGATTACCTGCTTCTGCTAAGATATCACTCTCACGACTGCGATGGTTCTCGCGTTCATATTCCCCATCGTGCTGTCTATTCATCGGTTTTTCGTTTTCTAGAACCACAGCATAAATCGAGTTGTCGTGTTCATGCGCACCAGGTCGCGATCTCTTCGTTTGAAAACGATCCATACCCATTTGTATCTTGGCATTATCAGCATACGGATAATCATATTACTCGTCATCATAAGGTTCTTCATCATCCAGGTCACGGTGGTACATGGCACTACTGGTGACACTATCTATCTCTATCTCGCAACCCTGGACGACTCTTGACATCGAACTCAACGTATCATTTTCGATGTAGCCACTGGCCACATCCTGGTTCCTGCGACTCTTTGAGGCAAGCGAGGGTCGTACTTCATAGATGGTCTCTTCGGGCATTCGATGCATTGTTACAGGAGCAACATCTACTGATGTAACATTGGTGCTTGATTTTGTGACTCCGGGTAGAGGGTCAAAGAGTAAGCTGCCTAGTAGGTTCCCAGTTTGCCGTAGACCAGTGTAGTTGCAGAGACTGGGAAGTCGGTATAAAGGTAAGGCGTGAGGTAATTGCGGATTGTGAAAGTGGGTCCATTTAGTTGGTGCCACATGATTTGAATGGCCCCCTCTTCCTGCAAGTCAAATACAAATATAAAGCTTGTATTAATTTGCAAAATGAAATAATTTTGTATCATTCATGAAGTATTTGTCGTATCTTTTTCCTGGAGAAAATATGATATACTCATTAATATTATAAAAACTTATAATGCAATGCACAATGTATCTTGATAAAGTTTTTCTAATATTTACCATTTTCCTGTTAATATAAACGTGATGGATTTTGTCCAATTTTCTGTATGTATGTTAAAATGTTTGGAAAACGTGTTTGGAAAGTTCTAAAACAATGCTCATTGCGTTGACTGTTTTGAAAACATTAGTAAATGTTGTTCTTGTTTTTATACATAATTCATGGACAACAAATTATCCCTTATTTTTTCCAATGTAATGTTTTTATCTAAACGCAAAACTTTACCCCCATGTTGCCTGTTCCTTTGTTAAGCCTTTCTCTTGTTAACCTGGGATTTGAGCCCAGAATCTAATTATTGTCGACGTACTGTGTTTTGCCTGTCACCTTTTTGTAACTAGGTGAAATCTTTTGTTTTGTAAAACCTGCGTTTGTTTTTAATAAACTTTTGTTTTGTTGCTATTTTTCATAAAATCGTGTGTGCTTGCTTGTTTGGTATATCAAGACACGTCTGTATCTTGCCAAGTCGTGAGAGAGACCAACATAAAGGGAGATAGAGAGAGAGAAAGAGAGAGAGAGAGAGAGACCGAGAGAGAGAGAGAGAGGGGGAGGAAGAGAGAGAGAGAGAGAGGGAGAGGGAGGAAGAGAGAGGGAGAGAGAGAGATAGACAGGCAGAGTGAGATAGGACGATAGAGACACATAAACAACTAGAAAGGTAAATAAAGAGAATGAGACATATATTGCGTATGAACAGAAGAGAGAGAGAGAGAGAGAGAGAGAAAGGGAAGCCTTTGGAAATCGTACGTCAAATTGAAATATTACAATATCTGGATAATTAGTTGATGAGCAAGGAGGGACTTCTAAAAATGATGACAATATGGTCCGTATTTCACTAATAGACTGTTTTATTGAAATATTCAAAGTTATGGATGTTTCTTTCCTGGGGACTTTGGTGACGAGTATTCCTTTAGCCTGTTACTAGTGAGATTTTAGATTTGGGTGGACTGCTACGTGTGGCGTCTCTTTAAGGCAATGGCTGTGCGTTGTGCAGGTGGACCTCTACCCGGGGTTTCCCACTTCTCTTATACGAATAGTGCAGTGGGTTGTTAACGCGCAAAGGTGATGACTTTCCTCTACACGGGGTCCCCATTTAACGTCATGTCCCATTGACGAAATGTTTTCCACTTAACATAGCCTGCGTCTATGAAACAAGGGGAGGGGCACGTTAACACACAACGCAGGCTTTAGTCATCCGCATGGGTTGTATTCAAACCCGAGATCTTTGGTTCGACAGGTAGACGCTTTACCGACTGAGCCAACTCGACTCCTCCTAATAATTAAAGTGAAGCGCATTTAAGGCGACAAAATTGTTGGTGCATGGTTAGCTCCTTAATACAATTGATCCCTAAATATATTTGCCATTAAAATTAGGTCAGGAAAGTACAATGAATTTCAGAATAGTACATATTTTCACCAAGCAGAGCGTGGGTCCAGTCTTAGGGGGGGGGGGGGGCATCCGTAAGGCTAGGGAGGGGGGCACCAGTCTCATTCCATGTATTCGCCGACTGAAATGCAAATAAGGAAGGTCAGCGGTCATGGGTGTGTGTGTGTGTCCTTTCATATCTTTCCAATCTTTATCCTTCTATTTTGTTTAAAACCCCTTTTCTCCTTTTCCTTTCTAGTTCGTTTTTAAAGCAATTCGATACCGATAAGGTGCACATCCCATGCTCCCATTAAGTTACGTCACTGGCTCTGAGTATAGTCTTCTAGAACTGTTGATATGGGCGATGTCTGTGTTTTTTTCCATAAATGATACAGCCATGCTGATAACTCAAACATTATAGTACACATAGAATTGTGATTTACTGGTCCAAAGACTCTGAACGCATGGTCACATATTTGAGGCGTTTTTCCTAATATTTCATCAGAAAATGAACAATAATTCATGCATGATTGCGCTTTTGACAATGAAAACGCCACTGAACTTTGCACATAGGCGTTTCATTTAGTGTCAACGAACCAATGCATCAGGACTGTCGATTTTGTGTACATGATAAAAGACCCGTTCATGGGCTCCATATTGTCACATCCGCGAACTTTATGCTGCCGTGATCATGGGGTTATAATATATTTTGCTGGACATATATTTTCACGATGCATGTACATACTTCTGGGAATTATTTGTCCACGTGTTAGCATGAACATGATCAAATCGTGTAGTGTCTCCTGTTTGACTCCTGTAGTTCTGTGTTTGTCGACATTTTCCAGAGTCTTTGAACACTTTCCCTCACATGCATTGACTATGTATATTGGAAGCAATAATTGGTGACACCAATCTTCTGCGAGGATTGAGGAAAGAAGGGTGTATATCTACACTGGACATTAAAAGCACAAATCATGGGCCACTCCTAGTTTTCTCACGCACTGGTTAAAGAAGACTACATTTATTATCATTCTCACACTGTTGCTCTACCAATCCGGATCATGGATATCAGCTGTTCTTCTAAAAGCATCGTTAGTATACTATTCGTATCATTTTCCTTCTGGTCTGTAGCATTTCTTGTCCCAGTATGTCAAATTCCCACTAAACTCATTGTCTACCTGTAAGTAGGTCCGTCCCATGCTGTATTCCACACAAGTTCATTCCATGTCTGATGTATGTGTCCACCAGACACTCAAGATCAAGTCTCATCATTGAGTACACCAATTCAGTTAGGAGATTATGGTATATTAAAGGCTTTTAACCCTCATATGATCAGGGTTTGATCCTTGGTGCTGACATCCTTGGAACAAGATGTTGTCACCTACGATTGTCCCTCTCCTACCAGGTGTATAGGATATGGGTATATAGCCTAGTTATGCTGGGGTAATAAAAGGTTCATGCCCTCGGGAAGAAGAGTGTTAATTTCTATTAATGAATAATCTTATCATTATAGTTTATCATAATAGTTTATTGTCATTGTTGCTTCAACAGTTCCAGATTTGAGAATGCAAGCACATAACTCTTTATCTGTGCCTATATTAAATCCAATTTCATCGGCATTATAATACTGCTAAGACTGTGTACGAAAACCTACATATTATCTTTTATAATACATATTATGTCAAGTCGAATCGATAGATACGGTGAATAAAATCACAGGTTTTCGATCATATCCTTTTCAATGAATGAAATTTTGTCATGGCGACCCAACTGTTCGATATTCCCAAGGTCTATAAACAGCTTACGGTTACATATGTTGGGAAAATAATACCATGCATCGAAATCAGCTGTACCGGAGGTTGGCAACCTGATTTGCAATATGATTTGCTTTTTTTATGAACTTTTTTTATGAGGTTTTTTTTTTCTCGAAATTATTCAACAGAGTTTCGAATATAGACATAATGTTCAACACGTTTATTCCATTTGATAGGTTTTTACACATAC